GGCGGAAAAGGCTGCCAGAGAAGGAAACATGAGACAACTGTATGACAACAAAGAAACTCTCTGGAAATCACCGTAAACCAGAACGACCAGTGAAAAGCAAGGAAGGCAAGATAATCACCAACATTGAAGAACAACGAAACAGGTGGGTAGAACACTTCAAAGAATACTTAAATCGACCAGCCTCACTGAACCCACCCAACATCGTAGCAGCACTCACGGACCTCCCAATTGATGTTGGCGCACCGACAATTGAAGAGATCAGCATGGCTACCAGACAAACCAAGTGTGGCAAAGCAGCAGGACCAGACAGCACTCCAGCAGAGGCACTGAAAGCAGACGTAGCGGTAACTGCAAGGATACTCATAACTCTCTTCAAAAAGATCTGGGATGAGGAACAGGTACCAAAAAACTGGAAAGAAGGACTTCTAGTCAAAATACCAAAGAAAGGCGATTTCAGCAACTGTGACAACTACAGGGGAATCACTCTTCTCTCAATACCAGGAAAAGTCTTCAACAGGGTATTGTTAAACAGGATGAAGGACTCCGTAGACGCACAACTTCGTGACCAACAGGCAGGATTCCGTAAGGATAGATCGTGCACAGACCAAATCGCAACTCTACGGATCACTGTGGAACAATCAATTGAATGGAATTCATCACTCTATATCAACTTCATTGACTACGAAAAAGCATTTGATAGCGTGGACAGAACAACCCTATGTAAGCTTCTTCGACACTACGGCGTGCCTCAGAAGATAGCCAATATCATACGGAATTCCTACGATGGATTAAACTGCAAAATCGTTCATGGAGGACAGTTGACAAAGTCGTTCGAAGTAAAAACCGGTGTCAGGCGAGGTTACTTACTCTCACCCTTTCTCTTTCTCCTGGTGATCGACTGGATCATGAAGACGTCAACATCTGAAGGGAAGCACGGGGTACAGTGGATAGCTAGGATGCAATTGGATGATCTAGACTTCGCAGATGATCTGGCTCTTCTATCGCATACGCAACAACAAATGCAGGAGAAGACAACCAGTGTAGCAGCAGCCTCAGCAGCAATAGGTCTCAATATACACAAAGGGAAAAGCAAGATTCTTCGATATAACACAGCATTTACCAATCCAATCACAATTGACGGAGAAGCTTTGGAAGATGTTAAAACCTTTACATATTTGGGCAGTATCATCGATGAACACGGTGGATCTGATGCAGATGGGAATGCACGGATCGGCAAAGCAAGAGAAGCATATTTACAACTAAAGAACATCTGGAACTCAACACAATTGGCCATCAACACCAAGGTCAGGATTTTCAATACAAATGTCAAGACAGTTCTACTGTATGGGGCGGAAACCTGGAAAACCACGAAAGCTATCATCCAGAAGATACAGGTGTTTATTAACAGTTGTCTACGCAAAATACTTCGGATCCGTTGGCCGGACACTATCAGCAACAACCTACTGTGGGAGAGAACAAGTCAGATCCCAGTGGAGGAAGAAATCAAGAAGAAGCGCTGGAAGTGGATAGGACACACATTGAGGAAAGCACCCAACTGAGTCATAAGACAAGCCCTCACATGGAATCCTCAAGGTCGAAGGAGGAGAGGAATATCAAAGAATACATTACGCCGGGAAATGGAGATAGATATGAGAAAAATGAACAAGAATTGGATGGAACTAGAAAAGAAGGCCCAGGACAGAGTGGGTTGGAGAATGCTGGTCGGCGGTCATTGTTCCCGCCTTCTACATAGTTTAATTTTTCACCATATTAAATTTTGAACATCTGTTTTCCCAAGTGTCTTTCGTTCAGCTTTGAGGATAATATGATTAGGGCCCAATGCCGCCACAATGTAACAGAAAGAACACGCTGAAAGTCCTCACACGTCATTTTATTAGACAGTTATGTCCTTTATTTGTTTCCTCTCTTAGTCTTGTAGTTTAACCTTTCTTCAGATATCTTTCAACAGCAATTTGTGTTCTTCAGTCTTCCACGTCCGAGCTTTTATCATGTGACCATGGCAAAAGACTTACCCTTTGTTACTTAGTTTTTCTGTTGCGTGTTGCTGAACTATTGGCGGTAAAGTCGTGTTTGACTAAGCTCAAATTCATGGCGTGGTTCAGATTGTGACTATTAACGCAAAAACTGAACTTCGAAAATGGTTTGTTGCCTGTAGAACTAAGATTCAAATGTGACACCAACATCAGGATCAAAATGAAACTCACTCACAGAGTTTATCACTGATTCGGTAGTTCAGTATCGTATTTTGAACATCTATACTGGAGTTTCTTAATATGACAACTTCTGTGTCATAGTTTCGATCATTTTCAGTTGTCATGCTTGAGATTCTTTTTTCTGCTGCAAATTAGGTCCAAGCTGATATGCCCAAAAAGACATTCTACATTTTGTTCGACATGGTCACCATCTCCCGAAACTGTTGTAACAGGCGGTGTCCTAAATCTGAAACCGATACACAGTGTTCCACTCCCTAACTCCTCAACTGACTACTTCAGCGAGAACACAACAGTGGATGGGAAAGTGTATTGGACTACGGAATAAAATGCACAAATACTCATTCATACACATATGCACTTAGGAAATTGCTACGTTTCGTAGTCAATGAAATGAAGTAGCCCTTTAGGTCACTTTTGATTGCCATCGACTGACCTTCTCATTAGGCTACTTTTGATTGACTCTACATATTAGATACGCATGCCGCCAACACTTTTATAGTTTTGATCGACTTAATTCGCGTTTCGACTCCGTGCAGAAGGACTGCCTTGAGGATCGTTTCGAAGGTTTCAACTTCGTGGTGGTTGACAGTCATCTTCAGTTTTATATGTTCTTCAGGTTTAGGAGTGCTGCTCATGTTTTGCTGATTCTTGTCTTTACATCCTCATCAGATCTCTCTTCTTTGTCATCGAGGCAACCCAGGCACGTGAATGTCTTCACATTTTCCAGAGCTTCGCTATCAGATGTGACTGCGTTGGTGTTCCCAATGTTGAATGTGAGGATCTTGCATTTACTTTGTGTATGTTGAGGCCTGTTGATGCAGAGATTGCTGCGACACGGATTGTCCTCTTATGCATTTGCCCGTGTGTATGGATAGAAGTATCAGGTCATCTATGTCGTTCAAATCGTCTAGTTGCATCCGAGTTCTCCATTGTATTCCGTGCTTCCCGCCAGATGTGTAAGCCTTCATAATTAAGTCAACCACCAGAAGAAAGAGACAGGGAAGTGAACGGATTTGTCCGGCTCTATTCCTCGCTTGAAATGCATCATTGGGCTGTCGTCCATGCACTTGATTGGGACTTTCATAGCACCACTACAAACTATGACTGCACAACCACTTAATCTAAAGTCATATCTTACTGTAATAATGAGATATTTTTTCTTAAATATTTTCTATTTTATTTTTGTTACTAGTCGTTTATTCTTTTTCTGTGTTCATAAACACGCTTATTAGACTATTTGCGTATTTCACGTCTCCTTTATCTCTTTTGCCTTATTTCCTCTCTTTCCTTCTTTGAAGTCAGTTCAATATTCTTCTCAATGACACATAACCTGATTTACTATTATTATTATTATTCCATTTTCATTATTATTTCTTCTCTTTTTCAAATATGGCAAATACAATGCTAACATTATTGAAACTTGTGTGTTATTGCATTTTTGAGGAAACCCGAAATGGTTTCTTCACAACACATATGTGCCCATAAGATGTTTGTGAACGATAGTAATAATAATAATTATACACGACCTCTCAGTGTAGTCTGTCGTATGAATTCCGTATGATGTTGACGATTTTCTCAGGTAAATAATATTGTCGGAGAATGTTTCAAAAGGTTTTCCCATCTACACTGTCAAGTACCTCAGCATTTTCAAGAAAGTTGATGCATGATGACGAGTTTTTTCAATGGATTGTTCAAATATGATCCGTAGTGTTACGATTTAGTCTGTGCACGACCGACCCTTACGTGATCCAGCCTGTTGACCTCTAAGTTAGGCGTCTACTGAGTCTTTCATCCAGTTCAGCAACACTTTGTTCAAAGCTTTTTCTAGTACCGATAGTAGTGACTTTGTAGTTCTCACATTTGCTTTGATCATTCTTTGATATATTGATGAGATATCCTTACTTCTAGTCCGTTGGCACTTGTTTTTCCTCCTGAATCTTCCTGAATAGAACGTGAGGGATGTTCCCAGTGACTTTTGTGTCTGACTTTTATTCATATTAAATATATTGTTCTATCTCCAGTCAAAATGTTTCCTCCATCACACGTTGGTAGTTGTTACGATACAATGAGCCCGTGTAAAGAATGATATGACTTCCACGAAAGATATTATATATTATGCAGTTACATCATGGCAAATCCACATTTGAAGTATTAGGTTCTTCATTAGAGCAGTACTAATAACGAAGTAGACTACAATACCACAGATCTATCTGGTTCTCCGTGGTGTGGTTTGTTGAGATCCTTGCAGCTTTGTGTTTGTGTTTGTAAGGGAATATTGTTTTACTTACAACCAATTTGTTGAATGCATATAGGTTTGCGAACCTCTCTTCATTTTCATTTCTCTCTCCCAGTCGATATCGTCTTATAATATCTTCATATCCGGTGTTATCCATTCCGACTTCGGCGTTTAGGTTTCCTATCCGGATGGTGAGATCCTTTCTTGGGCACTTCGCTGTGATTGATTACAGCCTCTCGTAGAACTGATAGTTATCGTCATCATCATCACCACCCACTGACACTGTCAAGTACATAAAGCCGTACCGAAACAGTAGTATATCAATCGGTTTATACAAGTTCATGGAGAAGATATTAGATGAATTGCAATGCGCACATTTACGGATACGGAATACGCATAACTGTTGTCTCAAAAAATTGGAATGTCCTCATTATACTCTATCGAAGATATAAAAGTTTTTCTTAGAGCGAAAATAGATGAAAATATAATTTATCGACGTGTTCTTGTTCGTTTAGGCAATATTGTTTATCGGATATATCTGACTGAACTTTATGACTGCTGCGTTACTGGGAAGGAATTAATGTAGTGAGACAGTCAGTTCCACACGTCGTTTACATTAATGGAGATAGAACTGTTCAAAAGTGTAAAAAATCACCTGAGTTTACATATTTGTAGACGGAATATAAAATAGCAATAATTTAAGGCAATATAGTGGATTAACTAAACGAATATTTAGTGAGTAACAATGGGCGGTGTGACTATAATTTATGAACAACCTTTGAGCGACGCTCGAGTGACCTTGAGAGTGTCCACCTGATAACTAAAACTAAATGAGGGTTATAAACCAGTGTGAGGAGTTAGAATAATGATTTACATTTGATGGTTGGGTTAATGAATTAGATTTAGGGTTTTCATAATGAACTGATCTCAGTTATAATGCCAAAACTCTGTTTTGCCAAATAAATGAATGAATTTCGCTCTAAAATTCGAGATCTGTTATAAAGGATTGATTTTTCCACAAATTATAATATCCCGCGTTTAATAGCCTATGTAATCAGTTCGCAATAGATTGTTTCGACACCAAGATGAATTTTTCGGTGTTTCTACTTTGTTGATGTGGAATTATTTTCTTTTCGACATTGATGTCATGAGCGTTAGGCTTTTATGCTTGGCTAACGAGAGATGTTTGGTTTTGCCTTTCTTGTTTGCGCGTCCTGATTTCTGTCGCCAGCCATAATTTAACTCTGATAATAACGTAAGTTACTTATCAGTCACAGATTTATAATATAGGCTCTAAATTATACTGTTTATTTAAATGCTATCGATATTACCTGACTTCCCGAAAAAATAAGATGATCTAAGGTTCGTAGCTGAGATTTTTATTGTTTGCGAGTCAAGTAATCCAAACAGATATCTGTTGCTCAAAGACTGGTGTTAATACATTAATTCATGCAAAAGTAGACTGCTACACAAGTTAGTGCTAGGAATCACGCATTTAATTCCCTGTTTTTTTTTTACATATTTATATGTTAAATTTCTTATATTTCTCTTCTATCTCGTTTCTTACCATCCTCAACTGTGTTGACTTTGTTCATCAAACATTATTTGCTTTTTATCACAGGGTCTGTGTTTCCTTATCACTCATTGTCGTCAGTCGTCAAACCTAATATTAATTTTAAACGTAACTAACACTCTTCTGACACTTCATAATGACGGTCTTGGGTGAGGAGTGGTTTGCTGTTGGAGACATTTATTTCAGGTACTTGTTGATTTGGTTTTTATTGTATTGTAGAAAGCTTCATCTTTACGATATGCCGTGGGGTATGGGATTTTCAATATCACAATTCAAGACATCCATTTGTCAGTATTCTGGTTATATAGGTAGGGATACTTTTACCAGTAGTTTAAGTTCACTTAGCAATGTATTTGGATGGCCAAGCGGGAGCAAAACCTATACTTCAAATATATACATCATCAGGCAAACTCGTTTCCCAAAGTGTTGTGAGTTGACTTCAACTTTATTTGTTAGTTCGGAATTGCATGTGTAAATTTATCTTTTAATTAACATGACAAATAATACTCAATGTTCCGCAATACTTTCTGTTTGAGATCTTATGGTTAAAAGGAAGTTATTCACACTGTAGCAAATCCAGAAGAAAATAATGTTACAATCCTAAATTTCTACACTACTTTAAGACCTAGGTATGGATTCAAAAGAATGAATACCAACTGGAAACATTGAAAAGAGAGCCCACGACAGAGTTGGTTGTAGAATCCTGGTCAGCGGCCTATGCTCCCATGTGGGGTAACAGACTTAGGCAAGCAATGGGTTCATATGTTTTATATGACCGTAGAGATTGTTGTGTTTCCAACTGCAGATGAGAGCCTTAAACAGTGCTGTTGATTTAAAACCAAACAAATTATAACAATAGTTGTGTCATGGGATGCTCTGAAAGTCAACTGTTTGTAGAAGCCATTAAACATCAATTACAAGATGGAACATAGTTATCATTGAAGTGATTACTTGAATATTACTCCTTACAGACTTTGATCGTTCACTGTTTGACCTACTTGTGTCCATATTTTTAAACATACAGAAGAGATATATATCGAGGTAAATTTGCCATTTTTGAAATAAATGCGCACATCAAGGAAAAACTGTTCGGAGGAGTTTTATATTAACTTTCTAGCGTCGTTCAAACTAGCCTGTGCAAGCTAGAGTACTTGAAAGTAGTAAAGTCGTCATATTTTTTGATGTTTCATTTTCTGAAAACAGTGATGTAATTAAAAAGTTTTCATTGTTATCACATTTAATATAAACTGACGCATTGTCACATGTCCAACTTTTTATCTAGATCTATTTTTTGACATTGAATTCATTCCATAATATGAAAAAATCAAACTTCCTCTTTTTCAGTGGAAAGATGCACCTGGTATATTGCTTGGTTGGACTTTGTCAGAGGATTTATTAGTTATTCAAAAAACAGGATTCACTACCATATTAGATCATCAGGGCAAGTTTGTTCGACGTTTTAGTATGGGACCTGAAGCTGAAGAAAGAGAAATAATTAGTGCTAAGCTTTTTACCATTGATTATGTGAGTAAGTTTCGCCGTATGGATACTATTTGTATGAATTATTTATTATCCTCATTTGAAATTTTCGAATCCAGATTTAACAGATGTGTCACAAACTTCTTAATTACTGAATTTTCTGTGAAACAGAGTAACTGTATTTAATAGAAACAATGCATAGTTAATAGATTGACAGTTTCTGAATACATTTGTATTAGTGAGCTGTTTTTAGAAATTTCAAATGTCCTACAGTAATTTCATATATCAAGTAGCTCAGTATTATATTTTTAGGTATATTTACCGAATCGCTAGCTAGATTTTTGAGAATCATAGAGAGGATTTCCATCCCATTATAGCTTGATAGTCTTTAGTTTGCCATAAAAACAGCATCAACGAATGTTATCAACCTTTGGCGAAAAGTCAGAAAAGGTCAGCTTATTTTAAAGATTCTTCCTAAACCAATCAGTACTCAAGAATTCAGCTTGGTAATTTCAAAACACGATAAACTATTGTACTGGATGGGCTAAGTCGTTTCCATCAGGACTGCTTAATTTCTGTGTAAATATGTCATAGCTATGTTCGTAGGTGTGACACTTGAATCTCAACCTATTCTACCAGATATGAGACTGCTTTGTTTGATCAGAAATTTCTGAACTTATAAAAAAGAGTTGTGCATTGAAACACTACGGAAACAAGTTATGGAGGATTGTTTCCTCTTAACTTATAAGATCTCGAAAGAAGAATCTTTGTTAAGGCTGGTTTACTGAGAACGAAACTTATTAACATTCGAAAGCCTCTTATGATTAACATTGACCATTCATAAAGGGTTCCTCCTTTTTTATCCTCCCTTATTCAATTTAGACCAAAGCCAAAAATTTAATGTACCTCTAATTTTAACTAGTTTCTGAAACTTTTTATGTGCTTCAAACGGTGTGCATAATGGACTTCTAAGGGTGTGAAAATTATAGCCCAACCATCTATGATCGCAAAATATTGCTAATTTTTTCCTGTGAACTTTTTAGCCTGTCCGACGCTTTGTCTTTATTAGAGTCAAGTGGTGCTTTCAACTTAGCTATTTGTCTTTACCTTTGCTCACTATTTCATAGTCGTAATTTGTAATAATTAATTCATGTATCTAGAACTTGTTGCTTTCAGTATTAATGTAGGACATCTTTTTTTTAGAATACAGGAATAGCTGTTCTTACCGGTGGAAACCACATATATGTAACTACCAGTATCGAAACTCCACGTATGCGACGCCTTGTAGAATTACCTGGACCAGTAAAGTCTTTATCACATTGGACTATTGTTACAACACCTCTTGAAACTGGAACACCTGATTCTTTTCGAAGCCCATGGGTGATGTTTTCAAACAAAAAGAGTTTGTACCGAGCTGACTTTGGAACAGTTGAAGGTGTAAGTACTTCCAAGCTTTAAATTGTCTCAAACCTCGCGGTGAATCAGAAAGGGAGTTATTAGCTGTGATGTGTAGGATTAAAAAAGTAATGATTAAATTATTTTATTACTTCCATTCACGATGCTGGATTTGAATGAATACATAGTTGTTTAAACATAGTCTGAACCTATGTTTTCCTTCAAATGTATTGATCATCCTTTGATATTCACTACTTTCCTAAACCCCGTGTGTAATATTAGTTTTATCTGTTATTTCTGCATCAGTCAGTATCAGTCATATTCAATAAAGTGACTATCATTACTACTTTACTCAAGAATCTGCTTAGTACTTGCTCCTTTTTGTAGTTTACTCTCATCAGAATGTCAACTTATTTTACAATAAATGCTCCTTTTCCTTATATTATAGATGTTAATATTAAACTTTGTGACCTTAGTTTGCCGTCAATAACTTCTCCTAACATGACTTCAAGGTACTCATCAATCTATATTCTGGAATGTTGTGCTTCTCAAGTGCACACTGTCCACTGTTATGTAATAAAACTAAATTAGTTTCTCATTCACCAACCATTTTCCACACTTATATATATTTTTTTCACTTAACGTGATTTCTATCGAGAAGTAAATTAAAATCAGTTGTTTTATTTTGATCAAACTCCCAAATCATTTAAATATAAGTCCCGTTTATCCGATAGAGATGGATTTTAGCAACCTGAATAATTTAAAGTTAATGTTGATTGCTGACAAAATAGTATCTATCTTCAAAAAACACTCAACTGTTTTCTACGTCATCTGTTGCTGCGTGTACCCACTAAACAGTCAGTTAATCATAATAAATGTAGATCCTGGCACAAATATACAGTTGTCTAAGTTGCTCTATCACGTTGAGGCAGAGAGATGGAGGCAACAAGACGAATTTTGAAAGGCATAATGAAGGATATGAATCGAAAGCAGACAAAAGGAGGAGTAATGATGAATGAATTATGGAGCTTAAGATCTAGAAAGTTAGAGGAAATTCATCTGCACCATTGTCATTGTTTCTAAACGATGTCATCCAACGTGCCCAGCAACTGATCATAGTTGTGCATAATCCGGTCAGGCAGTCTGCATCTACCAGCATGGTTCAGATCAGTAGTCAGTGTCCTCATGAACTGATGCCAAGTCTTAGCTTGACCGCTCCTACTTTTTTCCAACTTACATTTACACCAGCTAATATCACGCGTCAAGGTAAGCCATGGCTAGACATGTGCAACACGTTCCAACCACCTCAGTTGATGGAAATTCAACATACTTAACAATATTTTATTCATGATTTTTTCATAAAAAATATATTTTTTTTCTCTACTATCCAGATTGATTTATCAAAGCTTACTAGGTCAACTGGTTCTGATATTTGTCTATTGTCTATATCTTTAAATATGCAATTTGTTGCAATTTATTTAACCAATGGTGAATTGTTAATTACCAATACACGATTTACTGAATTACATTCACATATTGACTTGACTCAACGTATATCAGTTATGTTGATGAATAATAATAATTCAGCTAATCAAAAATTAAATCATCCTAAAACGATGCTTTGGTTAACTAATTCAGCTGTCGTGCTTCAATGGAATAATTTAATTGCTATTATAAGTACACAGTCAGATATTTATGAAACATTTTATGCTGATGATATATTCTTAGCACAAGAGGTAAGTAATATATCTTATTTGCGTGTGTGGACAATATGTGTTTTAATTGACGAGGCTATATTCAATCTTTATTGATTAACATAGATGTTTTTAGTATTATTAACGACAATACGGTTTTCTGTAATAGATTAATTAAGCAACTTAATATCTGCTCGGTACGTATCGATACTTCCGACAGTTGAATGAGTAATCTTAAGATTATTGATCTGTAGTGTTGATGAGTTTGGTTGCTGTTTATACAAACAAATCCATAAAGGTTAAATATCGTTGTTGCGATGTACGATTAAAAGAATATCGTGAAATGATGAAAGGTGTTTCAAAAATACATATTGCATTCCTTGTTTTCTTTTTCAGTCTATTATTAATTACTTTCTAACACTAGTAGTTAGTTATCTCATTGTTGATATTAGAGGCTCAATTGTGATCAGTCTTTATTGGTATATTCACCATATCCTGGTGGTCCATCCAGGCTATCTGAACTCAGTGAATAACCTGATAGGTGATTAGAGCAACGGTTGTTGTGTAAACAGCAACACTGAAGTACAAGTACATCCAGCTGACTAGCCCAAAGTGGAATGAAAAATCTACTCTGAATTCTACTCCTTACCACAATTCAAAATATGGCTACTTTAATTCTAGTCGTAATTCTGCAATTTTTAAATACAATTATTTTTTTCATCCCGTATTAAAACAGTATTCATGATAAATTTTATTACCAGTGAATGAAAAAAGTTTCATCTTTTACTAGATGTTTGATTATCCGAGGGGATGTGGTTTATTTCGTTACCTTGGAAAGTAGATATCTGTAGAATGTTTATTTGGTTAAATGAATTATTTATCAATCCATTGTATCGTGAAGAAATCAGTTATCCTACTACACATTGGTAAAGTATCAAACACTGGGATAAAAACAAAATCCTCCCCAATTCTTCGATTTCTGTCAGCTCTTCAGGATGATAGAAATGTTTTATGAAAGCTGTTATTTTTAAACAAAATCCTCTCAATATCATTTAAAGTAAACTTCGATTGATGTTGAAATATCCCAATTCTCATCATGTTTTCTTCTGTCTTATTTTTCTTTATTCAAAAACGTACACACATGCATATTGTATCATTAGATTGATGGAATTCGCATTCTATCACCTACATCACATGAATTATTACAACGTGTACCATCCCCATTAGAATCACTTGGACGTATTGGAGCATCGTGTCCAGCCACATGGTTATTGTCTGCAAGTAAGAGTTTAAAAATCAATTGTGGACGTACTAATGATTATTTATTGCCTATTAAACAACCTAATCAAATGATTGATGCAATATCACATTGTATTGAAGCAGCATGTCATGCAACTGTTGATCCTATTTGTCAACAAGAACTACTGGAATCTGCTCATTTAGGTCGAGGATTATTATCAGCTATGATGAATACTACTTCTAATGCTACTATTTCTTCTATCACTGTTACTAACAATAACAATACAGATCATTATTCAGTTGAGGCTAAATTGAAAGAACTGTGAGTTCGTTTGCTTGTTTTCTACACATAATTACTCAGTTAAAGAATTTCTTTTGTTTAAGATAATTCAATAGGTTATACAAACACTGTATTTAAAAAAAATTGAATCGAATAACTTATCAGAGATTGTGATTTTTTGAGCTTTATCGTTTAATCGTGAGGCTTTCATTGCATTCCTCGACAATATTATCTAATTCAAAATGATGTAAGCTGTTAAAATTCCTTAACGAATAACAGCTTGTTTTTTGAAACTGAATATAATTAATTGTTCCTGATAATTGTGCTGATACAGTGTGTACATAAAATCATTTCGATAGATTTTTCCCTTCAGATCTCATTGTTGATTCTGGTTTTGTTTATCATTTTCCGAATCGATTGTTAAATTGAGTCTCATACTAGGATGAAATAGCCGTCCAACAATTTTGGGTTTCCAATGGTGGTCTAACATTGATTTCGATAAAACTCAACAATCTCTACAACTCTTTACTGAAAATTGAGTTATCCTCAATACCATTAGTTTCTCGCTCCTAATTTGACCATCCATATTCTTATCTAAAACTCCGCCTGGAGTCCCTTTCGGGGGGCTACTGCCGGTCCCAAGCTCGGATAAAAGAGGAGGGTTGGGCATGGGGTTAGCGACCCCACCCCGTAGAAAACTAACTCGCTAAAAAAACGCTAACCAGAAAAAAATTATTCAAACCATTTAAACTCTGCCCTGAGAGTCAGAAGGTCTTCGTTTAGAAGAATTATAACGCCTCATGATGAAAGCCGAGTTTCTTCGGAAGTCACGAGGCCGATGCCCCTTCTGACAACCAGAGCAACCATTTATTTAGGCACATGGAATGCTCGTACAATGTGGAAGACTGGGAGAGTTTTCCAAATTACTGCAGAAATGAGGAGATACAATTTAGAGGTGCTTGGGATCAGTGAAACACATTGGACGCAAGTTGGACAACAACGACTAGCTTCAGAGGAGCTGCTGTTATACTCCGGACATGAACAAGAAAATGCCGCATATACACGAGGAGTTGCATTGATGCTGTCCAAACAAGCACAAAATGCACTTGTAGGATGGGAATCTCATGGACCAAGGATCATCAAAGCCTCCTTCAAAACAAAGAAAAAGGGCATTACAATGAACGTCATCCAATGCTACGCGCTTACCAACGACTACAATGAAGACGCTAAAGATCAATTCTACGATAGGCTGCAGTCAATCGTCGAGAAGTGCCCAACAAAAGACCTGACTATTCTGATGGGAGACCTAAATGCCAAGGTTGGAATTGACAACACCGGATATGAAGAGATCATGGGACGACACGGACTGGGAGAAAGGAACGAAAATGGTGAGAGATTCGCAAATCTATGTGTCTTCAATAAACTGGTCATAGGCGGGACTATATTCCCACATAAACGCATACACAAAACCACATGGACTTCACCGGATCACAGCACATAGAACCAAATCGACCATATCTGCATCAACAAAAAGTTCAGGAGGACGATGGAGGACGTGAGAACAAAGAGGGGAGCTGATATAGCATCAGATCATCACTTGCTGGTCGCCAAGATGAAATTGAAACTCAGGAGGCACTGGACAACAGGGAGGACAATATCACAAAAGTTTAATACGGCTCTTCTTCGGGATAATGACAAACTCAACAAATTCAAGATAACCCTCAGCAATAAGTTCCAAGCCTTTCATGATCTACTCAATGAAGAAGAAACTACTATGGAGAGCAACTGGAAAGAGACAAAAAGGCAATCACTTCAACATGTCATGAGGTTCTGGGCCAAAAGAAGCACCATCACAAGGATTGGATCACGGTCGATACACTGGATAAGATTCAAGAAAGGAGGAACAAGAAAGCAGCAGTCAATACCAGTCGAACAAGAGCAGAAAAAGTCAAGGCACAAGCTGAATACACAGAAGTAAACAAGCAAGTGAAGAGGAGCATCAGAACTGACAAACGTAAATATGTGGAAGATTTGGCATTGACGGCGGAAAAGGCTGCCAGAGAAGGAAACATGAGACAACTGTATGACAACAAAGAAACTCTCTGGAAATCACCGTAAACCAGAACGACCAGTGAAAAGCAAGGAAGGCAAGATAATCACCAACATTGAAGAACAACGAAACAGGTGGGTAGAACACTTCAAAGAATACTTAAATCGACCAGCCTCACTGAACCCACCCAACATCGTAGCAGCACTCACGGACCTCCCAATTGATGTTGGCGCACCGACAATTGAAGAGATCAGCATGGCTACCAGACAAACCAAGTGTGGCAAAGCAGCAGGACCAGACAGCACTCCAGCAGAGGCACTGAAAGCAGACGTAGCGGTAACTGCAAGGATACTCATAACTCTCTTCAAAAAGATCTGGGATGAGGAACAGGTACCAAAAAACTGGAAAGAAGGACTTCTAGTCAAAATACCAAAGAAAGGCGATCTCAGCAACTGTGACAACTACAGGGGAATCACTCTTCTCTCAATACCAGGAAAAGTCTTCAACAGGGTATTGTTAAACAGGATGAAGGACTCCGTAGACGCACAACTTCGTGACCAACAGGCAGGATTCCGTAAGGATAGATCGTGCACAGACCAAATCGCAACTCTACGGATCACTGTGGAACAATCAATTGAATGGAATTCATCACTCTATATCAACTTCATTGACTACGAAAAAGCATTTGATAGCGTGGACAGAACAACCCTATGTAAGCTTCTTCGACACTACGGCGTGCCTCAGAAGATAGGCAATATCATACGGAATTCCTACGATGGATTAAACTGCAAAATCGTTCATGGAGGACAGTTGACAAAGTCGTTCGAAGTAAAAACCGGTGTCAGGCGAGGTTACTTACTCTCACCCTTTCTCTTTCTCCTGGTGATCGACTGGATCATGAAGACGTCAACATCTGAAGGGAAGCACGGGGTACAGTGGATAGCTAGGATGCAATTGGATGATCTAGACTTCGCAGATGATCTGGCTCTTCTATCGCATACGCAACAACAAATGCAGGAGAAGACAACCAGTGTAGCAGCAGCCTCAGCAGCAATAGGTCTCAATATACACAAAGGGAAAAGCAAGATTCTTCGATATAACACAGCATTTACCAATCCAATCACAATTGACGGAGAAGCTTTGGAAGATGTTAAAACCTTTACATATTTGGGCAGTATCATCGATGAACACGGTGGATCTGATGCAGATGGGAATGCACGGATCGGCAAAGCAAGAGAAGCATATTTACAACTAAAGAACATCTGGAACTCAACACAATTGGCCATCAACACCAAGGTCAGGATTTTCAATACAAATGTCAAGACAGTTCTACTGTATGGGGCGGAAACCTGGAAAACCACGAAAGCTATCATCCAGAAGATACAGGTGTTTATTAACAGTTGTCTACGCAAAATACTTCGGATCCGTTGGCCGGACACTATCAGCAACAACCTACTGTGGGAGAGAACAAGTCAGATCCCAGTGGAGGAAGAAATCAAGAAGAAGCGCTGGAAGTGGATAGGACACACATTGAGGAAAGCACCCAACTGAGTCATAAGACAAGCCCTCACATGGAATCCTCAAGGTCGAAGGAGGAGAGGAATACCAAAGAACACATTACACCGAGAAATGGAGATAGACATCAGAAAAATGAACAAGAATTGGATGGAACTAGAAAAGAAGGCCCAGGACAGAGTGGGTTGGAGAATGCTGGTCGGCGGCCTATGCTCCATTGGGAGTAACAGGCGTAAGTAAGTAAGTAAGTATTTCTATCTAAAAAATGTATCGGAGACTTTATAAGAATTATTGCATAAATCCACCGAATATTTTAGTGTTACTGAAATTCCTCATGAAATTCAACAGTCGATCGTAGAAGAGTATTTGTTTTGTATGATTTTAGCCTACTATAAAATCGCTGGAGAATAGTTTTAATAAATCTGGTTTCATTTTTTTATTGGTCATGCTTTGGTGAGCTTGTTTATGATCTTGAATTTAAAGTGGTCTACATTTTGATTGGATTTCTTGGTGATGACCAATACATACTTTTATTCTTAAGCATTTAAACTTTATTAACGTAGTCGTTTTTGTAAATATCTATTGTAGTGTATCCTTTATCAACTTCAATCATAACCATGTCCATCCTATTTCTGATATCTTTTAGCGCTTTATACTCTTCTGTTGTTAGTTGACTGTCGTTTTCTTCCGTTTAGCTAGAGGTACCATAATCTTATTTCTACAAATCCTTATAGTTAATATTTAACGGTTGATTGCAGTACACAGACGAATTCTAGTTTTGAAGAGTCTTCTGTTTTGCATTTGAACTTTTAACGTAGATGTTTTACTGAGGTTGTTTTAAGAAACGGACATCATAAGCGTATGTTGTTTCTTGTCAGTGGATTCGAAATTTTGATTGGATTGTCTTTGAGTGTGTATCTTCTCCATTTTTTGTGTTATTTTACTTGATTTTTCAATTCCCATTGTCAAATTTTTAGAGTATTCCGGTTTCTATGTTCCCTCAAGCTTTTCCTTTTGCCCATGGTATTTGAGAATCTTTTGATAGGTATGGATTATCATTAATCATACAATTTGCTTTCCACTTCGTTGTTCGGTCATTCTGCTGAAGTGCAACATGGATTGCATGGCACGTAACACAGCCACTTTCGTTGGTACAGGTTCACAAAGTCATAAACGAACTTGTCACCATCAGTTATACTTGACACTTCATCACAACATTTCGCACTTGGTTGCTCCATATCATTTAGTCAGTGGTAGAAAGACATATGATCAAATACATAACTTAAATCAATCTTCTCATTCTTAGTGGTCAAGTTCCAACCATAGAGTATCCCACAAAAAACTGTTGTGGAGTATATTTTCCTTCTGATTAGTGGTAGGATATTCCCGACACTGTTGAAGCTGTAAGTTCGTAAATGACTTATTCTAATCTATTAAGTTATCCATGACTCATTCAATAGTTTTATTTTACTCCTAAGCCTTAACTGTGTCTAGCTTATATGATTCAATAATGTATTCCAATACTTTAAATTTGCTAATTTTACATAAAAATTAAGTAGTTACCTTTCGGTTCCATTCGCATCATAATTTTATTGTTTCTTATAGCGCGGATCATGCCGCAAAGGTATGTCAAACTTTGCGTTTGTTGAATAGCTTAGCTGTTCCATGGTTAGGTATTGCATTAACATGGCGTCAGTTTCGTGAATTGGGACCAAACAAATTGTTTGAACGTTTATTGATACGCCGTCATTACCCAATAGCAATTGAACTTGTTCGAATTCATCAAAAACATAAATGGCCAATAAGCATTCTAGAAGAAAGTCAAAGCAATTATGGGACATGCACATTTACTCGTTTACTTGCTCATTGGGCATGCAATAGTTCTGTAACATCTTCAGGAGCAGCTACATTGATATCAGAACGGGTAGCAGCTATTGTGGATAAGTTATTCAACAATTCATCAGAGAGCAAATCTAAGTCTAGTAATCATCATGCTAACTATTACAGTACCTCTATTCCTCATTTGGACTTCGCTGATGTAGCTAGTCAAGCTATTTCAGCTGGTCGAGAAACAGTTGCGGAGCAAATATTAGAATATGAGCCACGCGCTTGGCGTCAGGTACCATTACTTCTAAAATTATCTCGTTATAATCGTGCATTAGTTCGAGCAGTAGAGACTGGAAATCCTGAACTAATTACAACAGTTGTAGTAGCATTGCAAGAGCAAAGTAAATTACCACCGGCAGATCTTGCAATGGTACTTCGTCGGCATCCAATAGCTCTGGCCATATATCAAGAGACATTAGAACAAGCTGATCATTCTAAATCTGGTTCTGAAAATTCAACAAAAGCTGCTCTTTTAAATTTTGATCATGAAAATGATCGTGCTTCAGAAGCTAAAAAAATTGTTCTCTCAGCCTATCAAGAAAATGTAAGTTGTTCTCTTCTGTTATTTTCTACTTTTCACTCATTTCAAAATATTTGGTTTCCGTGAAGTTAAGTAATCCTTTTTCCAAGTCTCAAACTTCTATGTATGGTTGGAACCACTTAAGCTACTTCTGTTAACCTTCATCACAGGCAATACAGACTGACTTCAAAGAGCGTCTTTATTCAGTGATATAAGAAGAGTTTTTAGTTCCGTCTTGGTTGTTTTGACGTACAATAGGTTATCACTTCAGTTCATTAACACAAGTTGTATCAATTAATGATATTCACTATCATCTTCCCAACTTTATGATCAATGTAGTTTTAAAGAACAATTCAATTATCGATGGTTGACATTGCAAATAAGCTAATAAATTTCAGTTTATGAAATTCTGAATACACTAATTTCTACGTTTATTTTACTAAAGGTGTTTGAATACCCCTGGTTAGAGTGATAGTTTAATAGTTAAAGCATCCATGTTCCAAGCAGTAGGTTGGAAGCTTGTAATCCATTTAGTATATTTTGATTTGGTCATTCAAGTGAGTATTATCAGCTTCCACAGTTAAAGTATGCCTCAAAAGTCATGTAATATTCTTAAGAAGTCAGTCACATGTAACATTACTTTGATAAAATAATAATGATAGTAATAATAAGCATTATAACATAATTGATACAGTTTGTATACTCTTAAATCTTATGATCAAATAATTGATTTTCATTAATTGTAGAGTTTAGTTTCGCGATTGACATTATTACAAAATGCTGAAGAGATTTATCGTCAATCCAAGAATGATTTTATGGCTCAGGTAAGCATATGAGTTAAAAAGTTACTTGTATCTACGATAAGAAGGCCAGTAGTGATAATGATAATACAATGAAAAGCCAAATGTAGAGAAAATACGTGAAAAAGAACAAATGAAAATTTGGAGTAAAGTGAAAAATAAGTGCAATTTTCGGCAATTTTAGTCAACATTTATCACTATAAATTACAATCATTACATGAACCTCTCATCCAAGAAGTCTCCATGTTGCCATCTTTCATGTGTTCATACTTGTTGAGTATAATAAATATCATTTACAAAATATCATGATATTTCCATCCCTAACTATTTCATATATTTGCTTGAAGAGAGATATTAGAGGATTTATTTAAGTTCTACACCAATTTATGTAAATAGTAATATTAGCAAATAATGTTTTGAAACATAAATAGGGCATTTACCATACAAAGATAAATAAATAACCTTCAAATTTGTATGATAATACATGGTACTATTCCAGATAACTCGTAGAACTATTTGATGACAAGAAAACATGAAATACTCTGGTAAAACATTTTGACAACAATAAGTAGGATATAGTTTACGATTTATAATAAGAGAAATATATACCTTCTGCTTATTTATAAGCCAATAACCGGGAACTAGCCAATGTGCTTGGTTTTGTATAACTGCATAATGTGTCGTGTAATACAACACCAACTTCTGGATATCATTAACATGACCTGTTCAAATTTGTTTTGAAACAATAGACTAGTCATCAGTATTATTGTGTATAAATTTAAAATTTGCTTTATACGCGTTAACATTCACTGACTGTGTAGTACTATTCCGGATCCATTTAAATTCCATCCCATTAAGTTATTTACGTTCCCACTCCCAGTAAATTTACTGAAATATTAATTAGAGATTATAACTATTCGGATTTCATTTCTCATTTTCTCTGTGTCAGCAATGTAACGCACAAGTTCGTCTATTGAAATTCCAAAGTAAACTTGAGAAACAAGAAATATCTGCTCCTGTCTTCGAAATTAAATCCATACCCGGCTCTAATCGTATAATACCCGAGGTAGTACAGTCTGGTAGTATAAATGAGAAGCTTTGGGTTGGTCAATCGTTAAATACAACACTCAGTCGTTTGTTAGCTTCCGGGCAATCCGAACGTCAAGCGGATCAATTACGCAGAGAATTTAGAGTTTCAGAAAAACGTTTCGCTTTTCTTCGTGTTGTTGGTATGGCAATCAATAATGCATCTTGGTTAGAAATGGATAAAATGATTCGAGCAAAAAAACCACCGGTTAATGTTGAGGTACCCAATAAAAGCCTTAATAATTGTTTTCTAATGATTATGCTCTGTTGCATTATAATCTGCACTATTATGTTTCTCAGTGCAAGCACTCAAAAATATCTTAGTCGGGATTTTTAAGTATGCTATTATTCGCGTTAAATTTATTTTTTTATTTTCTATCAGCACCATAAGATTAGACATGATATTTCTTAATACCGAATAATCAATAAATTGTAATTATCTCAGCCTTGCATTAGATTAATGTGTGAATCGAATAGCTCAATCGTAACGTTTTAGGTCGTGAATTCTGATGATGTGGGTTTGAATCCCACAGGAAACACCAGTCCCTTCAAAATTGGAATTACACCTTGATACCGAGCGCCAACAAGCACGAAACATATGTCCAGGGTTTCCTACTGACTACACTAAACTACCGAATATCGGTTATTTTTTATTTAAATGCTCGTCGAATCCATCGCACATCACAGTTTTCTTTTATAATTGACGTTTAGATCAATGCTAGTAGATTCTTAGTAAAAAATAACAGCTGACAATGCATCAGTATTTAGTTGAGGTAGTTTTGTGGAAGTTAAATTCATTTGTTAGTTGGGTACAATTCGAAACTGGAGGGCATTTGACTCCCTAGCAATGTACACCCTAGAACCCGCTCGAGGTCGAAACCAGGACCTGCAGGTTTTGCGGCAAACGCTTAGGCATTGGTACCACTGGGTACAATCTCATTTTCAACCAGTTCGCGGTATAGCGCGACGACCATCCAATACCATTAGCGACAACTGTGTTACTTTTGACATGTTTGAACTGTACCATTCAAGACTTCATAGTAGAATTTGATTATTATATTGAAATCACCAGTGAGCTGATTACTACAGTTTGGTTGAGTGATTTTATGGGGATTAATTGTATTTGTGGATTGTATTCGTCACTCAAACATAATAAAATTGCCAGACAACAGCAAACTTGCTTTTTTAATATAGGATCAAGATATGGCATAATGAGCAATTTGAATTTTTGACAAAAATATGGTAGTTATGGAGAGCGTATTAAATGTTAGTTAAGCAAAAATGGTTAAGAAACGTTTCCACAGAATAAACCATATCAATGCAAACTAAACACTAAATTTTAATTTCCTAGACTGTAATCAATGAACTACTTCACTTGACCAATTGGAATACACAGAAGTAGGGTTTTGCACTCCTAATTGGAATGGTCTGTTCAATCCTAAGTCGGATTGTATATTTAACAGAAAGAAAAAGCAGCTTCTGTTATTTATATCACATAATATGCCACAATAATTTTAAATTAAGTATTCGTATCTTCCACTTCATTCTTAGCTTGTTTGAAACGGTAAAAAGCAACAATTAGAGCAGTGACTTGATGTGATCTTCATTCAGTGACTTATGGGTTCCTACCTCCCCCTAATCTAACTATAATTGGTTTCACGCAAATATTCTATAACCACTGGTTACCGCATTGCAAAAATAATTGCTACTCAAAGCTTAATCAGTCAGTTAATAGAAAGTTTTATTTCAAACTTTATGCCATACTTCTTTAGTCGCAATAAATTCTTATTATTTTTATTGTACAAAAAGATATTAATCAAAATTTGTATCGACGGCAATCGTATAGACGAAGCGATAAAACTAATTTCTAAACTTCCACCTGAACGAACAGTCCGTTTCTGGGTAATGATTGGGTAAGCAATTTGTTTGTTTGTTAATTACAGTACTATAGAATCATTGATTCTAACCAATTATAGCTATGACTTAATATAAAAAATAATCAATAATTCTACGGGACTGAAAGATCTTCGTTGTCTATTCACACCGTTCTTAGTAGTGTATAAATAAGAGAGAACAAAAAGTAATTACAATAATAAATGTGAAATACTGACTTTGTTCTCTAATTTATGAAATTTCATAAAGTTATCTACTAGAAGGAAACAGTTTAGTGCTCCCTGATTTTCACTGGTATCTCAAACACGATTAATCTGTAATAAATATATAGTAATCATAATTAGGTTTCGTAAAAATTCATTTGAACAATTTAAGATCGATGAAATTAAGTTTTTTTTAATAAGAACGTTCTGTTTTGTTTATTCACCTCATAACTTTTTATTTTACGTATAATTGTTCACATAGTCTATAGACTTCACATGAGTTCATACACACAGTAAAAAAAAAACATACACAGGTTACATCTTAAAATATTGAAATGATACTCCGAATATCTCCTTGCACAAAACAATCAAAAGTAGGACTGAATATTCACAGTTTTAGCTGATTAATTTGCTATCAGTGAATGGAATTGATGTATTGTTTTTTTTGGGGGGGGTATCTGTTAAGATACTTTATCTTAATAAAATCATTTAAAAACATTGCATTTTACTTCGATTACTTTAAAAGGAGAATCGAAGAAGCCATTCAAGTAGCTGTTCGTGAGAGATCAGAATATGATCTATTGTATATTCAGCGTGAAGTTGGCAAAACCAACAAAGAATTATATGATCGGATTACTAATCTACGAGCACAAATTCAGTGATGGTTTATATTTTAACGCATAAATAGCTGGCATTTTTTATGATTTACTTCATCAAACTTGTAAATACCGACTTATGATCGACTAATTTTTTTTATTGAACTTCTTTCTTCTATTGTACACACATTGATTGATTGTACCATTTTTTTGCTTAATGATAGAACCTCTCATAATCCTCATCTGAACACTTGATTTTGTAAACAAAATACTACTTTTACAACAAACGTATTTCCAGTCATTGTTTAGTTACACTTTAAGAGGGGGGAAATAAAGGTATTTATCTGGTTAATCGAAATAAGTTTTTCCTTTAATTGCGTTGATCGATTTCATCAGTATGAGACCAGTGACTAACAAGATTCGAATACAAGTTGTTAAGTAAAGTGACATTTTTTTTCAATTAGTTCCTTGTCATTAGTACTCACTAATATATGGATTTTACAACTGAGAATAAAGTCAATTCCTTGAAATCACAAGTCGATCAAAGTTAATCAACCACTTAAAATCTGGAAGCATTGAGCGGTCGTTTCATCCTATTATGGGACTTTTCAGCAGTACGTATGCAGGACGAAAAACCGTGTAAGTTGTGAGGAAGATGCTCACCGAAGACAATGGAAGATGGTCGCACTCTACGTAGACTGATTGGATCTAGAACTGCACATCACTGCATCCCGACTCAGCGTTCGCGCACGAGACCGAACGTTCTGGTTCGATCCTCGCTTATCGGGTTGTGAATGTTCACGGCTGAGGAGTCACATACTGAAACGTAAAGATCATTCGGTTCTTCCATGTTCTCAATGGTTGTTTAACGTCGGTCAGTGACTACAATGAAATTCAACAATCACAACCCTGTGTTGACAATAAAATCAATACCAAATGAATGGTGATACATCAGTTTAGAAATGTGTTTCAATATTTTCTCCAAAAGTAGTAACCATATAGTAATTTCAGAGATTCAAAATAATAAAATCGGCTAATCATGACAGCTCATTACGTAAGAATAGAAATTGAGTGCGAAATTAAACAATGTTCAACATTATTTGTAAATCTAATGATACGTACTAAGTTAAACGTGTGCGAAGGGAATTAGGTAATCAGATTATTAAAATAAATTACCTACGGATAAAATTAGTAATTGAACCCGAGAAATTTTGAGAAACAGGTTGCTAACTGATCACTATTTTAATAGAATATATTGTTAAATTGATTCATCACGGTTCACTTGGGACTGATTTCATTTGTAATTGTAAAAACTTGTATATTAGTGAGGATTCATGATGAGAAATTAATTGTAAATAAATATTTCTTCATTTAACCTGTACTTTTAACAAGATTCGATCTTTCAAGCTAAGTGTTTCGTCTAAGTAAGATTACCACACGGTAACAGCACGAATTTATTTACTAACCATCAACCGACCGTAAATGTTTATTGTAAAGAAAAAAACAGAATAGTTTGTAACAATTTATTTGAAATAAACTATATACAAAATTGTTTATGGAATTGATGGAATACGTTCAAGCAGTAAAATAACTTCAGTATGCCGAGTTTGTGGGAAAAGATCGACAGCCTCAGCCATAGTTGGAACAAATGGTGCTCCTGTGAATTTCTTGGAACAAGGTCTAGCAAAACTGAAATCATGAAAAGAAGCATGACATAGAATTTTAAAAAGGTATGATTACACAATAAGTAGAATTATTTTAATGTAAAAGCCTATAAATATCATTGCTTTCTGTACCTAAATTCCATAAGAACAGATCCTTTCATATTTTCCGCTTTTTGTCTTTTATTTGAGGCTTCATAAATAGTCAATTTTTGGGGGACTAAACAGTTGAACAGTCAGTATCCAACGCTCCAGTATTATATGTACCGATCTTAAACCATCAATAAATACAAGTACTGATGTGGTTTATCTGTATCCGATAGTTAGATTATTCCATTTGTTTCTAGCTAGTTGAAACTTCTCGAGTTTCTCATTGCTAGTGTTAAAATCACTCTTTCAAACAAACATATAACAATGGATAGAGTAGATGCTTTTTTGTTTTTTTTCAAATATAAATATTCTTAATGCACACAAACATAAAACTTACTTTAAAAAATTTTCTACAGCATATTCAATATTACAGGAAATATAGATAATTCTTTGAATTTGTTTGCAATTTCTCAACAGTTGAGTAACAGAATGATCTAAAATGAATAAGAAAAATGATAAGAGTAACGATTAAGATAGAGTTACTGTTGCGGTTCAACAAGAACTCCTTGATAAGTTCTTTAGAAGCCGAATCATTACACGCCCTCCACGTACAGGCTCTTAAAAATGGACGGATTGTGTCAAACTCTGTGTACATACCATGTCATGTTTTTAGAAGTTTCCAGAGTTTAACAGCTATTAGTAAACACAAAAAATTAGCTTGATTTTGGTACATAGATGAATCTTAAAGTAAAGCTTTTACCCATATTTTGTGCCTTTCATCTATTGCGTGGTAGTATGGAGTTATAAGCGGCTAGGAATTCAGTACTTACTTACTTACGCCTGTTACTCCCAATGGAGCATAGGCCGCCGACCAGCATTCTCCAACCCACTCTGTCCTGGGCCTTCTTTTCAAGTTCCATCCAATTCTTGTTCATTTTTCTCATATCTATCTCCATTTCCCGGCGTAATGTATTCTTTGGTCTTCCTCTCCTCCTTCGACCTTGAGGATTCCATATGAGGGCTTGTCTTGTGACGCAGTTCGGTGCTTTCCTCAATGTGTGTCCTATCCACTTCCAGCGCTTCTTCTTGATTTCTTCCTCCACTGGGATCTGATTTGTTCTCTCCCACAGTAGGTTGTTGCTAATAGTGTCCGGCCAACGGATCTGAAGTATTTTGTGTAGACAACTGTTAATAAACACCTGTATCTTTTGGACGATGGATTTCGTAGTTTTCCAGGTTTCCGCCCCATACAGTAGAACTGTCTTGACATTTGTACTGAAAATTCTGACTTTGGTGTTGGTTGCTAATTGTTTTGAGTTCCAGATATTCTTCAGTTGTAAATATGCTGCTCTTGCTTTGCCAATCCGTGCCTTCACATCTGCATCAGATCCACCGTGTTCATCGATGATACTGCCCAAATATGTAAAGGTTTTAACATCTTCCAAAGCTTCTCCGTCAATTGTGATTGGATTGGTAAATGCTGTGTTATATCGAAGAATCTTGCTTTTCCCTTTGTGTATATTGAGACCTATTGCTGCTGAGGCTGCAGCTACACTGGTTGTCTTCTCCTGTATTTGTTGTTGCGTATGCGATAGAAGAGTCAGATCATCTGCGAAGTCAAGATCATCCAATTGCATCCTAGCTATCCACTGTATCCCGTGCTTCCCTTCAGATGTTGACGTCTTCATGATCCAGTCGATCACCAGGAGAAAGAGAAAGGGTGAGAGTAAGTAACCTCGCCTGACACCGGTTTTTACTTCGAACGACTTTGTCAACTGTCCTCCATGAACGATTTTGCAGTTTAATCCATCGTAGGAATTCCGTATGATATTGGCTATCTTCTGAGGCACGCCGTAGTGTCGAAGAAGCTTACATAGGGTTGTTCTGTCCACGCTATCAAATGCTTTTTCGTAGTCAATGAAGTTGATATAGAGTGATGAATTCCATTCAATTGATTGTTCCACAGTGATCCGTAGAGTTGCGATTTGGTCTGTGCACGATCTATCCTTACGGAATCCTGCCTGTTGGTCACGAAGTTGTGCGTCTACGGAGTCCTTCATCCTGTTTAACAATACCCTGTTGAAGACTTTTCCTGGTATTGAGAGAAGAGTGATTCCCCTGTAGTTGTCACAGTTGCTGAGATCGCCTTTCTTTGGTATTTTGACTAGAAGTCCTTCTTTCCAGTTTTTTGGTACCTGTTCCTCATCCCAGATCTTTTTGAAGAGAGTTATGAGTATCCTTGCAGTTACCGCTACGTCTGCTTTCAGTGCCTCTGCTGGAGTGCTGTCTGGTCCTGCTGCTTTGCCACACTTGGTTTGTCTGGTAGCCATGCTGATCTCTTCAATTGTCGGTGCGCCAACATCAATTGGGAGGTCCGTGAGTGCTGCTACGATGTTGGGTGGGTTCAGTGGGGCTGGTCGATTCAAGAGTTCTTTGAAGTGTTCTACCCACCTGTTTCGTTGTTCTTCAATGTTGGTGATTATCTTGCCTTCCTTGCTTTTCACTGGTCGTTCTGGTTTACGGTGATTTCCAGAGAGTTTCTTTGTTGTCATACAGTTGTCTCATGTTTCCTTCTCTGGCAGCCTTTTCCGCCGTCAATGCCAAATCTTCCACATATTTACGTTTGTCAGTTCTGATGCTCCTCTTCACTTGCTTGTTTACTTCTGTGTATTCAGCTTGTGCCTTGACTTTTTCTGCTCTTGTTCGACTGGTATTGATTGCTACTTTCTTGTTCCTCCTTTCTTGAATCTTATCCAGTGTATCGACCGTGATCCAATCCTTGTGATGGTGCTTCTTTTGGCCCAGAACCTCATGACATGTTGAAGTGATTGCCTCTTTTATCTCTTTCCAGTTGCTCTCCATAGTAGTTCCTTCTCCATTGAGTAGATCATGAAAGGCCTGGAACTTATTGCTGAGGGTTATCTTGAATTTATTGAGTTTGTCATTATCCCGAAGAAGAGCCGTATTAAACTTTTGTGATATTGTCCTCCCTGTTGTCCAGTGCCTCTTGAGTTTCAATTTCATCTTGGCGACCAGCGAGTGATGATCTGATGCTATATCAGCTCCCCTCTTTGTTCTCACGTCCTCCATCGTCCTCCTGAACTTTTTGTTGATGCAGATATGGTCGATTTGGTTCTATGTGCTGTGATCCGGTGAAGTCCATGTGGTTTTGTGTATGCGTTTATGTGGGAATATAGTCCCGCCTATGACCAGTTTATTGAAGACACATAGATTTGCAAATCTCTCACCATTTTCGTTCCTTTCTCCTAGTCTGTGTCGTCCCATGATCTCTTCATATCCGGTGTTGTCGATTCCAACCTTGGCATTTAGGTCTCCCATCAGAATAGTCAGGTCTTTTGTTGGGCACTTCTCGACGCTTGACTGCAGCCTATCGTAGGAATTCAGTAACAAGGGTTAAATCAGCAAACTTGTCAGTTATCAACCGCAGTAAGCAGCTCCTTCAGTATAATGATGGTGACATTGTACAATGTAAGACAAATAGTGTGAAAGAAAACAATGGAATCGATTAGGACGGTTTCTATTGTGAGCTTATGAAACATGGTCTTTCCTAGTCGAG